TCAAAAGGGTCGACGCCCAATGGGGTCTTACCAACTGGAAAGATTTTGCTCCAGAATGGTGTAAGATGTGGCAGAGGTGTAACACCCCAATTCTACCCCTCGTAATTAATAATAAAATCAGAGTTTCAAAATTTCATCCAAACATAAATTGAGGTATCACGTATTCGTGTTTTTCATCACTTTACATTATAATGCACATCACAAAATCAAAATTCGGATATACCGATTCATAACATAAATCATCATATAAACATATGACTAATCACATCACATCGGATGTGTTCACAAAATGTACGTATCATCATGTTATCATCAATACATAAGGTCATAAGATAATATACATAAACTATCCTATCAAAATAATAACGTCGCCCAAATCCCGAGTGTTACTACTATCAGAGCAGAGTGACTCAAAATAAAGAGACTCGAGCTAATCCTCACCATCCTCGCGGATCACCTGCACATTACCAATACAAATGCAACGGCGAAACAAGTAAAGGGTGAGATACTCCAAAACATATAATTAAAGGCATGATAAAATATATAAATATTTTTGGAATCATAAATGATACAGGTTAATAAGAATATGTCAACAAATATCAAATCTCACATACTTTAAAATCATCATTTAGTGTATAAGATCAACACTTTAATATCATCACATAATCACCATAATCATGTCAAAACAAGACATAAACTTCATCGCCATAAACTCATATCGTTGCTTTACCGTCATGTTATATCCATCGCATAATTTCCATGAAATTATCACATCATAATCACTTTATGTTCAACACAAAATCATCACAAAACAAAGTATCATATAACATCACAATTCATTATAAGCCATCAAATAAAACTCAACGCCAAAAGACTCAAAAATAAACATAACCGACTCTATGAGACACGACTATATTATGCATGTGGTACCCGTCGCTTTGTCCATAATTAGGGACATTCTGCATAAAAGCCCATCGTCGCTTTGGCATAAAAGCCCTCGTCGCTTGGCATAAAAGCCCTCGTCGCCAATGCAATGTATGTGACTCGACAACACGACATCACAAACACGACACAACAAAACATCATCATCGCGCATCAAAATTGGTATAAAACCCACATCGCCATATTCATCCACATCAATATAAACATATCATCGCATCACATATCATCAAGTATTCATTATAAATAAACTGTCACAAACATCATATTTAATCACACCACATCATTATCAAATAATTCACTAAATTTCAAACACGGAAAAATAGTCAAACATCAATAATCGTCGCGAAAGTCATTCATAATAATCGGCATCAATTATAAACATTAACGTTGCAATCGGATTGTCCATACGCGACTTAAACCGACTAAAACGCAACCCGATTCAACTTAACCGTAAATTGACTTATTTCGGGTCGCTCTATTAAAAACTCGTAATCTTGAAAAACTAACCTCACCACGATATTCTACACGTCAAAATTAGCTAGCACGTCAATTTTCGTTAAATTCGGAGCAACTTGCTCCATCGCCGAAATTGCCGAAATCGAGAAATCAGAACATAATCGGATTCCAAATTAAATCGGCTAACTTATATCATATTTGTATTTAATTAATATAAATATTTAACATATTAAATTAAGAAAATAAAAACAAAACATAAATTAATTAATTTTCTAAACTTAATTTTCCATTTCTTATACTGCTATTACGTTAATTTCTAAACTACTGGTACTTCAGTTTTTTCATACTACTACTTTTTAGTTTCTAACTTCATTTTATGAATATGCTGCTAGTACATGTTTCTAAACTTCATTTTATGAATATGCTGCTAGTACATGTTTCTAAACTTTATTTCAATTCAAATAATATACTGTTTGCTTAGTTTATTAAACTATACTGCTATTTCTTTTAGTAAACTTAACTTAAGTATATACTGGTATACAACTTCTATGCATACTGCTTATTTTGTTTTCTATAAATTTAATTTAATTAATATAAATTAGTTTTTCTAATTTAATTTCTATTAATATAACAATAATCCCACAACATTAACACCCAAATTAACTCTCCTAATTTATCTCAACAAATTTCAAGAACCCTAACATCAATTTTATCCCAAATCAAAATATACCAAATCAAATCCTAACTATAAGCATTGAAAAATCAAACCCCTTACCTTAGATGTTTGAATGATTCTTGATGTTCCAACCAACCCAAAACCCAAGCTTTGTGTTCTTGTTCTTCTCTTCCTCCAAGACTCTCTCTAGTTCTCTCTAAGTATGTTTTGTGTTATGATACTTCTATCTCTCATAAAACAACAACTAATGCATTTGTTTGGATTTTGGTCTTAATACAACATGAAAATACCATACTACCCTCCACTAGTCTTACTAACCCAAAATATAATTCAAAATGCCACTTAATCAAAATAACTCCAAATAATTAAAATAACTCTGAAAAATTAAATATCGGTCCGAATAATATTTTACCAAACTGAACGGAATAAAAAAAACCGGACCGAACAAAATAATTACCGGTCCCTCAAAACAAATACCGGACCGAATAAAATAATTACCGATCCCTCAAAACAAATACCGGACCGAATAAAATAATTACCGATCCCTCAAAATAAATACCGGACCGAATAAAATAATTATCGGTCCCTCAAAATAAATACCGGACCGAATAAAATAATTACCAATCCCTCAAAACAAATACCGGACCAAATAAAATAATTACCGGTCCCTCAAAATAAATACCGGACCGAATAAAATAATTACCGGTCCCTCAAAATAAATACCGGACCGAATAAAATAATTACCGGTCCGAATAAAACGTCGCCGAATATATTAACAGATATACCGATTAATTTAAATATTCTTGTCGCAAAAATAAACGTCAAACGATAATTCGAAAATATTAATATAATATAATATTAAATAAAACGGGGCGTTACAAGAGGCGTCACCGACATGTCCTGCAATTCCCAGTTTTCCTCAACCACGGTAATATGCGACACACAGATCAATATTTAGCTTGGTACAGAGCGGTTAGTACCCCAGAAATGCACGTGTCTCACCCAAGGTATTTGGTTGACCCACGAACACAATGGACACAACCTTCCTTTCCCCAACAACAAACCCAACACACATCAACCTCCCACCAACCTCCCCAACGAAACAGAACCACAAACACCCAACCACAATCACCACCACAATACGATTACACCCACATGCCCCACAACCAACCACAATCACCACCTCAATACCAATACTCCCATATGCGTCACATCCAACCACAATTTCAATCACAATACCAATACACCCGCATGCCCCACACACAATTCTAGTCTTCGACATATCCCAATATGGGCCCCTCAACATCTAACCTTAGCCCTGATCAGGGATTTTTCGAAGATTATGAACCAACCGACCCAACTTACCATCAACCACCACATCAGCAAAGCACCCAACATTCCCAATACCAAACACCCCAAGATGCATTTCCTTTCTACCCCCGTACTCAGACGACCAGTACTATAGACCAACCATGGAACCCCACCCACCACCAACACGACCAAACTTTGAGGGTATGCGTAACCGACTGTACCAAAGCGGATCTTCTAGATATGGAGATCTGACTGATTTCATGGATTCAGAACACATTGACTTCGCTGGGCCAACGATCCTGCCACAATAGGAAACACGATGAAATCCAGCACGAGAAAGGCGAAGACGGGGATGCGGAACCGCAGGTCGTTACCGGATTCCGGAGCACCACTGATTATTTTGTATTTTTTTTATGTAATCGTTTTGTGTAATCATATTGTGTAAATAAAAAGTCAATTTTCATGATCCTATATCGTTTATGTAACGTACCACATTTAAAATAAAAAACACAAAAAATCGTTTCCCAATTGCACTAAGGCGCCATCTCACTTGGCTTAGGGCAAGTCTTTCACACCTAGGCGCCAAGTGAGATGACGCTCCCCCTTTAAAATAAGGTGTAGGCGTCAATTGAGATGACTCCTCCCTTGTGGAATTTTCTGAAACATGATTATTTGCGTAATTTTCTTCGAAACATAGTTATTTGCGATTTTTTTTAATATCTGATTATTGCAAAAAAAAATTCCTATCCTTCTGCTATAGATTTGAATATCAAAATTGTAAAAATTAAATAAATAAATAATTATTTTTACACTATATATTTTTAAATAATAATATAATTTTGACTATATTTTAATTTTTAATAATATATATTTATGTTAAAAATATTAAATTAATATTTTAGCTTTTATAAATAAGTAAAAAATAACTTTTACATTTTTTAATTTTTATTATAAATATTATTTTAAAATATAATGTAAAGTCATATTTTTATAGTTAAAGCAACTAAAAATTAAGAAAAAAATTAAATATAAGTTTTCTTGAAGTAAAATACAAAAGATAAAATTTAGAAGAAAAAAACGAGATCCTAACCACAAATAGTTTTAAAATAAATTTAGTATATTTGATCTATTTTTATATATATTAAAGTTTCTGGATCAGTATATTAACTTATTGTCTAAGATAAGAATATCTATATTTAGAAACAAAAACAAAAACAAAAGTCCAATATTATTTACACAGTTAATATAGAATATTTTAAATAACTAATGCATCACAACTACTTCAATGTATTAGTGTTATAAATATATGACCTGTTAGTTTCATTTATTTAAAAATATTTAAGATAAAATTAAAAGCAAAATAAAAATTAGGAAAAAAAAAAAGTTTTGTTGAAGTAATATACAAAAGATAAACTCTAGAATAAAAAAGAGAAAAAAAAGAAAGAATTCTGTCGCTTGTTTGTAGCGGAAAAGCTAGGAATGACAACCACAAATCAAGCACACAAAAGAACAAAAAAACATAAAATAAAAATGGATAAACCATAAATTAAAAAATAAAATAAAATAGAAATTGAACAAGATCAAGAGAGAAAAAAAAGAGAGTGAGAAAAGAGAGATGCGTTGTTATGGCTTATCTATTCCTGGAAGCGATTATCGCTTCTTCCTTCCAACACAAACTCCGCCACTATCCCTGCGGCCGACGACAACCGTGCCGATGACCCGAGTAACATTCGGGTCGGGTTTTCCGAAACTAAAAGCCACGTTCAACGACGGCGTTGTGACGGAGAAATTGAGTTTCTACGATCTTCTAGGTATACCTGAATCTGGTTCGTTGATGGATATCAAAAGCGCTTATAAACAGCTTGCGAGAAAGTATCATCCGGACGTTTCGCCGCCGGACCGGGTGGAAGAGTATACGAAGAAGTTTATTCAGGTTCATGAGGCGTATGAGACGTTGTCCGATCCTTCTAGGAGGATTATGTATGATCAGGATATGGCTAGAGGTGTTCATCTCGCGTTCAACGCCAGAAAACGCTATAATCGCTCCGATCAGGTATTTGTTTTTACTATTTGGTTTCTTTTTTTGGTGTTTTGGAATTTATGTGTGCTTTCGTTGTTGTTGATTTGAGTTTCCTGTTTGTGTTTTTGTTTGTTATTGATTTGTATAATTGTTATAGACTTAATTCATTGTTGAATTAAGCTGAAAATAGCTTATGGAAGCTCTTCCTAACAGCCTCGCATAGTGTTTATTTGAATAGATAAGCTCAAATAAGCTAATCAAATTCATACTCGAAAGACCTGATTGGATTGACTTATTTGAATTTATCTACTGAAAATACCATATGAAATGTTTGTAAGTTATTTTCGGCTTATTTTCATAACTTGTTCAAGATAGCGAAAACAGCTCGCGTAAAAGTAATTTAACTTTATGTTGTCTTTTGCTGTAGAAATAAGTTATACATAAGAGGTTATCATCATAATAAGCACTCATGCTATATGCTGCAAATTAAGTTGTTTATTTCATCCTGGATGTTTTCAGTGTCAAGGTTATGATTTTGGGTTGCTGTTTCATTTTTCTATTCAGTTACCAATTATTTAGGATTTCTCTTCCCTTTTTGAGGTTGGAATTTGTTGTCAAGTTTTGTCAATGTATGGTTGTTATTATGCAGCTTCTGTGATGGATTTCTTTAGTTTGTTGTTTGAGAAGCTTTTGGTATCTGAAGCAAGTATAGGTCAACCTCTTTTTTATTTCAACAGTAGATTATGCTTGCATTCATATCCGTTAAATTGATTTTACTTGGGGAAAATGTGATTTTGCTGAAAAGTATCATGTTTGATTATGATATGTTAGGATTAGTATTTCTCTCAAACCTCTGTTTGATTAGAGGTGAAAAAAAAATTGTGATAGGTTGAAAAGGTTTACGACAAGTTTAGCGCAAAATTAACTACAAAGTAAAAAATTCAGAACCAAATCACTTCACTTCAAACTCATTTTTATCTAATCAATTTTACAAAATCGAACTCATCCAAAATCACATTTGACAAAGACTTGTTCAGGTTACAATTGAAGAGCTTGGACTGATTTTTGTTTCTCCTTTGAAAAGCTTACAATTGATCAACTTGTTCAGGTTAAAGCTTTTGACTGAAAAATAGTTTTCCACTGCAATATAAGCTAATGTAAACATGTAGTGAAAAGTTCAAAGATAATTTTAAATTCTGATTGCATGACAGGTTAAAGCTTTTGACTGAAAAATAGTTTTCTTTATCAATGCAGTTGCAAAACCCTCTCTTAAAATGCATTATTACACCTACAATTAAGGTTGAAAACCACAGCCCACACAACCTTAGTACTTGCATATATTTATAAAATTTAGCATGTTTATTTAGCAATTGCACCTAATCTCCGTGTTGAAGTGGGGACTATTTTCTATTTGAATCTGAATTGTTTTCCTACTGATTTGTTGGTTACCTTAAGAAACAAGTCTTAGAACTGGATTCTAGGGAGTATCATGTGACATGTTATTTATTTTAAAACTTGGTAACCGGCCTTGAGACCGACTAATCCAAGCGGACCAATCCCATCGTCCATTAGCGGGGTCTCATTTAAAAGCAGGGCTGTATGGACTAGTCCAACATATAGATTGTTAACTCCTAGCATGATTTGAACCTGAAACCTTGAGAGGAGCATACTCTCATGTCCGAAGCCTTCACCTACACGCCTACCTCAGGGAGTTTTATTGTGACATGTTATTACGTGTTAGGTGTGCTTTGGTATGCCCTGAAACAATTTAAAATTTTTTAGTACTATGATAAAAGAAAAAAACTGGGAACCTGGTTTGGGTAATACCTAATTGATGGTTTGGTTTGGGTTGGGTATGGAGTGGGCACCAATTAAGTAGTTTTTTTTTCTTCCGTAAAATAATGTTGTCTAAAGTTAAGTTCTTTCTCATTTTGTTCTTTTTTCCGTAAAATAATGTTGTCTAAAGTTAAGTTCTTTCTCATTTTGTTCTTTTTCATTATAGTATAATAACTTTTGCCTACTATGAGCTTATATTATTATTCACTCAATTAATAAAATTGCAAATTGACTTCTTCTGTGTCTGTATTTATTACTATTTTTTTAATGAATTATGATAGATATGGAAAATCTATCATCAAGATTTCTTGCTTGTATGAGTAATGGTTATGTCAGTGCTTTTATTCTTGATAACTTTGGCTTTTCTCCATTTTGAATGTGTCCATATCAAATCCAGCTCACACCACCACAAAAACTAAACAAGTTGGGAATAATAATAATAATGTAGTTGTATTAAATGTAAAGTTGGCTCTTCAGCTCATGAAAAGTATAGTACAATTTTAAACTAATTTCAGAATTCTAGATATTGTTTTCTGATTATTTTAGTCGTTTATAGCATGAATCAGGAGACAACAGATTTATATAAACAATAATAATAATAATAATCAATAATGTTGACAAAACTAGCTTCTGAAGAGATAGATCTATTG